TATTATTATTAGGTTTAGTTATATATATATATATATATATATATATATATAGCTACAATTTAAACTACATCATTTGTATGATTAGCGGGTACATTTGTATCTTTGTATGAACTTGAATTTATACAAACACAAACATTTGTACTTTAAACAGTTAAAATACAAATTGTATTATACAAAATTGCATTACAAAGTTATAGAAATCCAAATGATACAAACATGCAAATTATACAAATTTGAAAACTCAGTATACGTAATTATCACCAAATATAGATTGCAGGTGATAATTAACTAAAACTATAGTTATAATGACTAATAAACTAATACAATCCAAAAATAAATAAATTAGTTTGTCTATCAAGCCCATAACTTTGTCTTATTGGGCCTTATATAGTTTAAGATTTTCTCTCTGAGAAAAATTTACCAAGAGCCCATGGGCTAATTTGTTAGGCTAAAATCTGCTGGTTAACTGAAAAGGAATAAGGCCTAAAGCCTATTCAGTTATTTGAATTATTTCATTGTTAATCGAAAATCATAGTGATATGGACAAAATCTCTACTGTTTTAGTTACAAGATAAGAATTTTGATTAATTTATCGTAAGATGAGTATTCATTTCCTCGCACGCTTGATATTTACTTACGATCACATTAGTCTACCTTTCTTTTTAACGCACATGAAACGAAAAATCCTAATAAAAATTATTCTCTCGTAATCGAAACTATTCCTCCTTTGTTTTCACTATCAATCAACTATACCATGAACAAAATTTTAACAAAGCATATACACGACAATCAAACACGACTCTTTTTTAATAGGAAAAGAAAAACTTTATTAAATAGTTCTTGAAAAGTATTTCGATCAAATCTTCGTATAAATATCGAACATCGACCAAAAGAAAAAAGAATTGATCTAAGGAAAGGACAAGAGGTAGGTGTTACATATAAGCACGAGAACCTGAAAAGATTTTGGAAAGGAATTAAAGTACTAAAAAGAAGAATAAAAATGAAAGGGACATAACATAACAAGAAAGAATATAAACAAAAACATAGTTTATGTGGAAATAATGATTATTGCATCCTCTGTAGCACACAAAAAAAAAACTTGATGGGAATCTATAATATCTCCTCCTGCAATTATTACATATTAGATATTCTAAATCCAACTTTTATTTACTAGGTCACTTTCATCTTTGTATACTACTACTACTACTACTACTAATAATTATTATTATATATATATGAAAAGGATAAATATATGTACAGATTTTATTCATACATATTTCGTGAACATACAAAGGTTATTTTTAAAAAAAATTTGACTTAAAAGTAATATAGTATATCAAAAATAGTTTTAAAAAGTATATGTAGATCTTTGACTTAATAACATTAAATTCCATCTCACAGAGCGATGCTAAGTGATGTCTTCTTCTTCATAATATTTAAAAATAAAATTTTGTGTATGAGTTATTTATTTTTTTTTTACTTAATTTGTCATTTTTAAATGATTTACAAAACACTTTATTCCTCAAAGCTCATATAAAAAGAGAGATTCCTTAAATTGTTAACGTTTAGATTCAATCGTTCATTCTTAAATTAACTTAGATCAATTCAAGTTGATTTTCAAATTAATTTTATATATTTAATATCATAAATTTAAACACTTTTAATTTAAGAATGTGAAAAAAAGGAAAAGAAAAAGTGACTCCTCATAGAAGAAAAGTTTCTTTTTTTTCATCCGACAGCAGTAAAAGTTGCAAAAATATTTTAAGGTAATAATAAAGCTGTAAAAAAAAATTAAGTAATCCCTAAAATAATTTTACAGAAAAATAAAAAGTGAAAAGGAGAATCTTTCTGTTCCTCTTCTTTCATTTTCTCTGATATTCTTGTTTGTTGAATGTTGGTCCTTTCCTTTTCTCTTATATAAAAAAAAAAAAATTAAAATAATAATTATACTTTCAAAATTATATTTATTAGTATCTTTTTTAATCATCAGTTCCAGAAAATAAAACACACTGACTATATATCAAAGACAACTATATTTTTTTTTTTTGAAATACTATTAATAATCCAATATATAAATTTTTACTGGTAAAATGATCAAAAAATTAACATAACAAGTTGCTTAGCAATATGTAAATTTAATCTAATAAATTTGTGTAAAACAATTTAAACTACAGTTTCATTTCTTTAGTTTAATAATTATCGTTCATGTTCTAACTAGCATGTATGAACATATGAAAGGTTTAAGGTTAATTTCTCGTTTTATAATCTTGGACAATCGTTACTCTTTAAGCTAATTTTTTCAATTGTAATAAATTTAAAGTAAAATCGTATTAAAATTAAATAAATCAAATTCTCATTTTATCTGATATTAATTCATACATAAAATTTAGTCAAGCTTAAAGTTCATTTCCAACATTGATAGAAGTTAACAATATTATGACATCAACAAAGAATTATCACACTTCTTGATTGAATATTTATTTATTTGCATTCATTATCATTTTCCCTTTCTCTTGGGTATTTATATTTTTATATTATAAGAGAAAGGAGAATTTACCTATTTATCCAACAAATATTAAAATGTTTTTATGTGTTCATAGGGAGGCCTCTCTCTCATCATGAAAAGACTTACTAAAAAGAAGAAGCTTTTTCCAAAGGACCTTAGCTTTTACTTCTTTGTCTGCCATTTAATTTCCTTAAATATATCATAACTCTTCTTTCATCTCCCACACAAAACACCACTTCTTTTTTTCACTTCTCAACACTCTCCCTTTTTATATACACTAGTAGCAAGTAGCTCTTTTTCTAGCTATATCTTTCTTTAAGCTAAGAGGGGTTCTCCCATTTCTTAGTTTTTATTATATAGAGGTGTTGAAAAAAGGAGAAAAAGTGAAGTGGGGTTTTGTTCTTGAAGGAAAGTTTGGATCTTTTTGTGTTCTTGAAAAACCCCATGTGAGTTTGTGATCAAAAATCCATTTTGTTTTGTGAAGGGAAAGTTTGAATCTTTTTGTGTTCTTGCATAACCCCATGTGAGTTTTGTGATCAAATACCCATTTCTTGATCTGTACTTTGTTTTGTGAAGTGAAAAGTTTGAATCTTTGTAAGAAAAAAAATGATATCACTTTCAGACCTTTACCATGTTCTTACTGCTGTAGTTCCACTATATGTAGCAATGATCTTAGCTTATGGTTCTGTAAAATGGTGGAAAATTTTCAGCCCTGACCAATGTTCTGGAATCAATAGATTTGTAGCTCTTTTTGCTGTTCCATTGCTATCTTTTCATTTCATTGCTTCCAACAATCCATATGCAATGAACTACAGGTTCATAGCTGCTGACACCCTTCAGAAAATCATAGTTCTTTTTGTTCTAGCTATTTGGTCAAGAGTTAGCTCAAGGGGATCCCTTGAATGGTCCATTACTTTGTTTTCACTATCCACTTTACCAAACACTTTAGTTATGGGGATTCCTTTGTTAAAGGGTATGTATGGTGATGCCTCAGGAAGCTTAATGGTCCAAATTGTTGTGCTTCAATGTATCATTTGGTACACTTTGATGCTTTTCTTGTTTGAGTATAGAGGGGCAAGAATGCTTATTGCGGAACAGTTTCCTGACACTGGAGGTTCCATTATTTCCTTTAAAGTGGATTCTGATATTATTTCATTAGATGGTAAAGAGCCATTGGAAACTCAGGCTGAAGTTGGTGATGATGGGAAACTTCATGTAACTGTTAGAAAATCCACTAGTTCCAGGTCTGAAATATTTTCAAGAAGATCCCATGGTCCTAATTCTGGCCTTTCATTAACTCCTAGACCATCAAACTTAACTAATGCTGAGATTTATTCATTGCAATCTTCAAGAAATCCAACTCCTAGAGGCTCAAGCTTTAACCATACTGATTTTTACTCAATGGTGAATGGAAAAAATGCAAATATGAGTCCAAGGAATTCCAATTTTGGGAACTATGGTCATGATGAGGAGAGTGGTGTTGCTGGATTTGGGAGAGGAAATGGGGTTTATGGACAGGGAAATGCAGGGTACCCTGCTCCTACTAATGCTGGAATCTTCTCTCCAGCCACTGGACCAGTTACAAAGAAGAAAGCTAATGGTGGTACAGAAGGTGGAAAAGATCTTCACATGTTTGTTTGGAGTTCAAGTGCTTCACCAGTATCTGAAGGAGGGATTCATGTCTTTAGGGGAGGAGGTGACTATGGTAATGAGCTTGGTGTTGGAGCCCACCCAAAAGGTATAACTACATTCTTGGACTATGAAAAATATACCATGTACCATGTTGTACTAGTTGTTTTTCCATATTTTAATTGGTTTTGGTTGTCTTATTGTGGATTAATACTCAGTTTTGTGTTTCTTGTTCTTGTTACTTGTTTGTTGCAATGCAGTTTGATCCTACTTAATTGGGGTGTACATTGACCCCAACCTCAGAGGTAAAGAGGGTGTTTTCGATTGACCCTTGGCTCAACTAGATAGGCTTTTATATTTGTGTTCGATTAATCTGTGGAGGGTTGAAGGGTTGGAGTTTGCTAAGTAATTTGGCCTTATTGAGTTGTTTTCATTCAATAGTTTCTTGTTTTAGGCGTAAGTTTGGAGCCTTGCATATCCAGTCCCTGAAATTATGGCCATATTTTTTTTGTCTTTTTCTTGAGACAAACATGCTTGCATTACTTTTGTCTTCTCATGTTGCACAGGAAATTGATTGAGTATCTATTGTAACACCTTATTTCCTTCATCATGTCTGGTAATTTTTATTACACCATGCATAAATCCAAATTAGCTGGGCCGACTGTATGGATCGTTTGTATTCATGCGTGTTTAATTTTAATATTAAAAAAACTTACATAGATATTCCCTTATTATTGAATGTTTTTCCTCACATTAGATTATGATGAATTTGGCCGAGAAGAGTTCACATTTGGAAACAAACAGAACCTGAATGGAAATGACCGGGAAGGGCCAGTTGTGCGCTCGAGCTCCACAACCGAGCTCCGTCCTAAGATTGCTCAAGAAGAGACCAAGGCAACTGCCATGCCACCAGCTAGTGTCATGACCAGGCTCATTTTGATTATGGTGTGGCGAAAACTAATCAGGAACCCAAATACTTACTCCAGCCTCATTGGCCTAACTTGGTCCTTGGTCTCTTTCAAGTATGTTTACCCAAAATTTACTTTAGTTTATATGCGTGGTCTACAATTAGACTTGTGACTAATGCCAAATCTTTTAGGTGGAATGTTCAAATGCCAGCGATTATAGCCAAATCAATATCGATTCTTTCTGATGCTGGTCTCGGAATGGCAATGTTTAGTCTTGGTATGTCTGATATAACAATTAGATAATCTTCACACGAAATCCCCTTACTGCTTATGGGAAAATCATAGTGTTTTCAACTGATTTTCATCATGGAACAACAGGTTTGTTCATGGCATTGTCGCCTAGAATCATTGCATGTGGGAAAACAATTGCTATCTTCTCAATGGGTGTGAGATTCCTTACTGGTCCTGCAGTTATGGCTGCTGCCTCCATTGCAGTCGGACTTCGAGGTGTCCTTTTGCATATTGCTATCGTTCAGGTAGAGGATTACTTCATAACGATACGTAAACACACTTTTTTTGCCACTCATATAACTGAAAAAGTTGCTTTAAACTCATTTTTCAGGCAGCTCTACCTCAGGGAATTGTTCCATTCGTCTTTGCCAAGGAATACGGCGTCCATCCTGATATATTGAGCACAGGGTGAGGCCTCAAAACACATGTTTTCATCATGAAATGTCAAAAAAAAAACTATAAAATACTAAAAGTTTTGAGGTTCTTGTTGAATGTAACTCAAGAATCTTACCTATCACCTATAAAATGTTGTATGTTATTTTGCACTTCTAATATAATACTAAATCATGGTTTTTAATTATTATTGCAGGGTCATATTTGGTATGTTAGTTGCTCTTCCTATAACTTTGGTCTACTACATTTTGCTGGGGCTTTGAAGCTGATGATGAAGAGCCAGAACCAAGTGTAAAGGAAAAAAACTAGAGACCCTTTTGGCATATGGTCTTTTTTGCTACTAACAGAACATGAAATTCTCAGAAAAAAAGAGACAAAAATGAAACCAAAGTGGAATTGTGAATGGTCAATTGTTGGGAACAACCAATAGAGGAGTTTTAGTGGAAAATTCTTTTGTTGTCTCTTTGTCCTCTCTTTACCTTTTTGAACTTTTGTGCTATCCTAGGCCTACATGTCTTTTGCTTCTTTTCAATGAAGAAAGTAATGTTTATTTTTTTTCTTCTATATATATGTAGATGTCTAAATTGTCTTTTAGGAGTACCTTTTCTTTTAAAGCTTTCAAAAAGCTACTACTACTTAGTACTTACTAACCTTAATTAAACACAATTTATGTGTGAAAATGGGCTACTTTTTTCTTTCTCATGGTTAATGTCTTCTTATAAAATTGAAAAGAAAAAAAATATTATGCACACTTTGTAAGTGTTTGGTGTGCTCATTTTGATTGCTTAATATGTTAGATTGGTGTGAAAAAGAACCAAGTAGATGTAAAAGCAAATCTCTAGTAATTATAGTTAGTTGGATCAATGAAATAATAGTAATCAATACAACAAGGTTTAAGAATGTTCTACAAGACGTTAAACAAAGTCTTAGGTAAAAAAGCAACTCGATAGAATGACGAAAAATGGAGATCTCCTTGGTAAAGAGCGTTTTATCCTTTTAGTAGATGAATCGAGTTAATACTTAATAGAATGAAATAATAACGATCAAGATAGAGCCTTCTGATATTTTATCCTTTGAGTAGATTAGTCGAGTTAGTTGGATGAATGAAATAATAGGGCAAATGAACAGTATAGAACCTTTTGATGATTTGCCCTTTTGAGTAGACTAATCGATTTAGTTAAATCAATAAATTTCGAATAAATGAAATAACAGGGCAAATGAACAAAGATAGAACCTTTTGATAAAGTAGACTAGTTGAGTTAGTCAGATCAATAAATTTCGAAGAAACTTTGCATGGTTATAATATTTTCATAACTATTTATCTCCACTTTGAATACTGTTTCAGTACTAGTGAATCTAGAGTTAAAAGATTTTCTCAGAAAAAAAAATTAAATTTTGGAGGCTCTTTGTTTTGAATTTACTAGTACTATTATTTGTACATAACTTGAAGAAACAGAAAGAAATCTCATGTGCATTTAATTCTCTTTTGGTTGTTTATATCTGCCCTCGTATTTTTTTTTTCCATTAGTTTGCAGAGCAAGTGAACAACTTCTATTACTTTTTGACAGTAGAAATAATTATTTTTCTAGCACTAATAAAGTTTAACAACTCTGCCCCCCCTACAACTTGCAACTAGGGTTTAACAGTAATACTTAGTAGTAACAACATTTTACATTATTTGTTTTGAATTCAAGTTCATGTCAGTAAGGAGTAAAAAATAACATCACTTGGATGAAAATAACATTTACAAAAATTGTTATAATATAGGGTAGAATCGAACATGGAAAGACATTAATTGATAACGTTAAAAGGATGGATGCTTAATTCTGATACTATAGATGTTAGGATCGAATTCACACACACTTTTGATGAATGAAGAATACAACAACTTTAGAGAGAAAGAGATGAGAGAGAAATCGATATTTCGTGGTAACACCCCGTAAGTAAACTTTCACGGCGGTGGGCATATATATTAATAATTTAGAATATTATAGGTTACAGAGAATAAATGAATAATAAACATTAATATATGACAATACATCAAATATTAATCAGACTCCACAACCTAACAAAAGGCAATTGTGAATTTATAATTTTCAAGTCAGAACTATAGTGTGGAGTCCGTCAATATAAAATTTGCTTATAATATTACATAGGTGAGAGGATCATCTTCAAGTTACTTGAATAACTTTTTTTTTCCATTATTGATAAAATTTCATAAAGTGAAATTTAAAGAGGGTAAAGTACACACATATATTACTATTATCATATTAAGATAAAAGGGAAAAGAGTCTGATATACCCATCAACTATGTCATTTGGAGTTGATATACCCCTTATTATAAAATTGGCTCATATATGCCCTTACCGTTATATAAACTGCTCACATATACCCCTTCCGTTACAAAAAGGCTCACATATACCCCTCATTTAACGGAAGTTAAAAAATTAGTTTTAAATTTATATTTATTACTTCTAATTTAAAAAAATAAAAGTTATTTAGGGGTATATATGATTCTTCTATCAAAGTTCAAGGTATATTTTAAACTTTTTCATACATAAATTATTTTTTGACTTCTTTTATTATAATTATTTGAGTTTCTTATTCTTATTTTGTTTTTTTCTTACATTCCTTAGATTAAAGAAAAAAACTAAACTATTTTTTTGTGTATTGTAATTTAATTTCGTATTCGAAGAAAAAATTTGGTCATGTACAATAAGTTTTACAAGAATATTAGTGGAACATAAATAAATTTGATTATCAAAATAATAATTATAAATTAGTCATTGAAACAAAAAAAAGTCAAAAAAGTATGTTTGACGAGGATTAAATTTACTCATATAGGATTATATTTTTTAGAGAAAAAAAATAAAAAATTTAGATTAAATTATTTTTTTCATTCTTGTTAGAGGAAAAGGGTATATGTGAGCCATTTGTTTACAAGTAGGGGTATGTATATATGAGTCACTTTCATAACAAGGGGTATATCAGCTCTAAATGACAAAGTTGAGGGGTATATTAGACCGTTTTCCCAAGATAAAAAGACTCTAAAAGTATCCTCGATAATTTATTCATGACATATAATAAATAAAAAATATAGAGACAAAAGATATCACCCATCATTTCAATTAATCAAAAGGCACCCCACGTTTTCAGGTAAAGCCTTTCAGCATATCCGGCATAAACTACATGCAATACTTATTATTTGAAAAAAGTGACATCATATTAAACAACTCTATATATATATAAATATATACATATATGATATGATATTTACAAAAATATTAATGTGAGTTGAATTATTATCGATCGTTGTATAATTTCACGAGATTTTTAATTTGAGTTTACGTAAATAAAAACATATCATATTAAAAAAAAATTAAAATAGGCATTGCAATGCATAAACATAAGTGGGTCTAGGGTGTGCTCAATCTTTTATTAAGCAATAATTTAGATTTCGTTGGATTTCATTGCGAATACAATGAAATCAAAAAAGAACATTTTTAGTACGATATATTCGTTAGTTAATTTAAAGTGGCAACCCAATAGTTGCTAATTACAAATTGAAATCCTTGTTTTTGGCAATAATTATAATGGATCTAAAGTACTACACTGAAATTAATTTACTCGATATGATAATGTTTAGTGAACAAAATGATTATTCCAGCTTGTTTAGATAAAATAAAATTATAATTAAACTATTCATATCACATGCGCCACTAAGTCATTCTGCACCTTTTGAAGCTTTTTTCTTTCCTTTTAATTACTATTATTATCAATATTAAGATTTAATTAACTAGTAAAGCTTTTATTTGTGACAAAATTCTATTAAGATGTTTAAATTTTGTCTGCCACTAAGACTAAGTCTTATAACGTGTAACTTTTCTTTGAAAACGATAAGCTCAACTAGAAAACATATAGTCCACTACATATATGATCGATCGCGTACGCATAATTTTTCGCGAGTTATATTTCCTGTTATATATCCAATATATTTGCTTTTGTATTTTTAATTATTCATATATATATATATAGAGTAAAAAAATTTGATGAATTAGTGTCACGTGACATATCGTGGATCATTTTTATTCTTTTGGGTGGGGGCTGGTGGGGTTAGGGCTATGAGATGAAGGCCCAAGTTTAAAGGCCCAAATTGAAGCCTGTTGTTGAAGACTTATTTATGGACATTTTGTAGTATAGCCAAACAGTGCAAGTTAGAATAAGGGATAAGTACACAAATAGCCAATTTAAGGATAAGAGTTTTAAGTCATAGTCAAATATATTATTTTTTGTATGTTTAACTTATTTAAAATCAACTTTAGAGTTAGGTCAATACAAAGATTTTTTTCTTGTGGTAAACTTTAACATGTGAGATTGCAAGATTTAGCTACAATTCTTACTTAATTATCAAGAAATTTTTTACATGCAATTGTCTATTATATAAAATAAATCTCCTCACACCATCGATACATAGAAATCAACTCATTTTTTTAACGATTTAATTTAAATCTAATTACCTTTCTCAAAAAAAAAAAGCACAATTCTTTGGTTAATCATGCAAGGAGTCAAAAAATTGAATTATTTTCTTAAATTTTGACGAGAAGGAAATACTTGAATAATAAATATTCTCACTTTCAATTCGAATATTACGAGTTCGAGTCATCAAAAGAGCAAAAGGGATGAGAGTTTCTACGGAGGGTAAAAAAAAATCATGGAAGGAGTCTTTTATCTCTTTGTTAGTCAAACTAAAGAAAATAAAGAAAGTAATCTTTTTAAATAAAATAAAAAACCGCGTGGCTTTCATATCATCATTTCATGTGACCACAACTCAACCTAAAAGAACAAACAACCAAAAAGATGTTTTTTTTTCAATCTCAAATTATGTGCATTATATTTTTAATCTAATTTTTTTAAAAAAATGTTACTGACTTATATATTTAATATACTTCTTAATTTCAATATTTCATATGACTATTTAAAAAATTACTGAGTTTAAAAATATTTTGATACATAATAATGATAGAATAGTGATCACAAGTTTTTTCTACTCCAATCACGACAGGACCAAATACCTAGTAATACTTTAACAAAAATAACTTTTAGCGGTTATAAATAAACACATTAGTAAAGAGTGTTGAAGTCCTTACTGATATTAGTTAATGTCGCTAAAGTCTTTAGTAACACATATAAAAAGTGCTAATTGCTGCTAAAAATATATATTTAGCAACAATTACTAATTAATTATCATTAAAACTCATTTTAA